CTGTTTTTTTAATTAAGTCTCTTTGAACCCCTGTGATGAATATATTAAATAAATACATTTGGGGTTTAAAAAACTCCATTGCATTACTATTTAATAACAATGAAATTTTAGAAAAAGAAATGAAAAAATAATTCCTTTTGCAATTGCAGCAAGAAGAATAAAATACCTAGGAATAAACTTAAAGGATACGAAGGACCTATATACTGAAAACTATAAGACTTTTTTTTTTCTTTTTGAGTTTTAGAGAGAGAGGAAAGGAGACAGATAGAAACATTGATTAGAGAGAACATCAATTGGCCGCCTCCTGCATGCCCCCTACTGGGGATTTGGCCCACAACCTGGGCATGTGACCTGACCAGGAATCGAACCAGCGACCTCTTGATACATGGGTCAACGCTCAACCACTGAGCCACACCAGCCAGTCAAGACTTTTGTTTTTTTGTTTTTTTGCACTTATCTTCAGATAGAGCTGGAGGGAGCCAGGGAGGAAGAGAGAGAGACACACATTGAATGGTTGCCACCTACACAACCCCAACCAGAGCCGGGGACAAACTGCAACCGAAGTATGTGCCCTTAGTGGAAACCGAACCCAGGACTCTCTGGTCCGTGGGTGATGCTCTAACCACTGAGCCAAACCAGACAGGGCCATTTTTTTTTTTAACTGAAGAAGACACAAAGAAAGGGAAAGTTTTTTCATGTTTATGTATTAGAAGAACCAACACAGTTAAAATGGCCATATTACCCAGATTTAAGCAATCCCCATAAAATATACAGATTTAATGCAATCCGCATAAAAATACCAATGCCATTTTTTTTTTTTTTAAATCCTCACCCAAGGAAATTTTTTCATTTTTTTGTTCAGATAGAGTGGGAGGGAGAGAGATGAAGAGAGAGAGAGAGAGAGAAACATCGATGTGAAAGGGACGCATTGAGTGGCTGCCACCCGCATGACCCAACCAGGGCCGGGGACAAACTGCAACCAAGGTATATGCCCTTATCAGGAACCGAACCCGGGTCTCTCTGGACCGCAGGCTGACGCTCTAACCGCTGAGCCAAACTGGCCAGGGTCCAATGCCATTTTTTAAAGAAATAGAGCCAAAAAATAAAAAATCATCAGATTTGTATGGAACCACAAAAGACCCAGAATAGCTAAAGCTTAATCCTAAGAAAAAAGAACAAAGCCACAGGTAACACACTCCTTGACTTCAAATTATACTACAAAGCAACTGTAATCAAAACAGCACAGTATTGGCAGAAAAATAGTATACAGACCATGGAACAAAATTGAGAGCCCAGAAATAAACCCATGTGTATATGGGCAAATAATCTTTGATGAAGGATCCAAAAATATACAATAGAGAAAAGAAAGCCTTTTCAATAAACGGTGCTGGAATAATTAGAAAGCCACCTGCATAAGAATAAAATTGGACTATTTATCACCATTACCAAAATGAACTCAAAATGGATCAAAGAGCTAAATATAAAACCTGAAACAATAAATTACATAGAGAAAGAACATAGGTACTAAACTTATAGAGCTTGGTGTAAGAGAGGATTTTAAGAATTTGACCTCAAAAGCAAGGGAATCAAAGACCATAATAAATAAATAACACTGTATCAAATTAAAAACCGTCTGCACAGCCAAAGAAGTCAACAAAACAAAAAGGCAACCAACCAAATGGAAGAAGATACTTGCAAAAAACACCTCCTATAAGGGGTTAATATCCTAAATATATAAAGAACTTATAGTCCTGCCAGAGTGGCTCAGTTGGTTGAGTGTCGTCCTGTGCTCCGAAAGGTTGCCAGTTCAATTCCCAGTTAAGGCACATACCTGGGTTGTGGGTTCGATCCCCTATTGGGGCACGTATGGAAGGCAGCCACTTGATGTGTCTCTCTCATATTGATGTTTCTCTCTCTCTCTCTCTTCCTTTCCCTCTCTCCTTCTTCTCTCTAAGTATGTCCTCGAGTAAGGATTTAAAGAAAAGAACTTATACAACTCAACAACAAACAATCAAACAGTTCAATTAAAAAATGGACAGAGGATCTGAACAGACACTTCTCCCAAGAAGACATACAAATAAATGGGCAACCGATATATGAAAAGATGCTCAATTGTACTAGCTACTAGGGAAATGTAAATCAAAAGTACAAGCAGATTCACCTTACACCTGTTAGAATGGCTGTAATCAACAAGGCAAGTAACAATAAGTATTGGAGAGATTGTGGAGAAAAAGGAACCTCATTCACTACTGGTGGGAATGTAAACTGGTACAGACACTCTTGAAAACAGTATGCAGTTTCCTAAAAAATTAAGGCTAGAGTTATCCTATGACCCAGCCACCTCTCCTTTGGGTATTTACCTGGAAATTTTGAAAACACTTATTCATAAAGATATATATGTATCCCTAAGTTTATAGCAGCATTATTCACAGTGGTCAAGATGTGGAAACAACCACAGTATCCTTTGATAGATGATTGGATAAAGAAGATGTGGCACATATATACAAGGAATACTACTCAACCATAAGAAAAGATGAAATACTGCCATTTGTGACAACATGAATGGATATTGAGAATGTCATGGTGAGCAAAATAAGTCAGTGAGGAAAAGTTAAGAACCATATGATTTCACTCATATGTGGGATATAACACTGAAATCAACAAGTGAATAAACAAGACAAAAACTCATAGATACAGACAGTATGGTTGCCAGAGGGGAAGTTGCATGGGGGGTAGTAAAGGGCAAAAGGGGTCAAATACATGGTTTGACTTTGATTTTTTTTTTTTTTTTTTTTTATCCTCACCCGAGGGCATTTTTCCATTTTTTGTACAGATAGAGTGGGAGGGAGAGAGAGAGAGAAACATCGACGTGAAAGGGACACATCGAGTGGCTGCCACCCGCACGACCAACCAGGGCCGGGGACAAACTGCAACCGAAGTACGTGCCCTTAGCGGGAACCGAACCCGGGTCTCTCCAGACCGCAGGCCGACGCTCTAACCGCTGAACCAAACCGGCCAGGGCCATGGTTTGACTTTGGATGGTTAGCTATACAATGCAATATACAGATGATGTATTATAGGCTTGTACACTTGAAACTTATAACTTTATTAACCAATGTCACCCCAATAAATTTAAGTTTTAAAAAAGAGTAGCCCTGGTTGGTTTGGCTCAGCGGTTAGAGCACCGGCCCTTGGACCTAAGAGTCATGGGCTCCACTCCTGGTCAAGGGCAGATACTTGGTTGCAGGTTTGATCCCCAGCCCCGGTCAGGGTCTTCAGGAGGCAACCAGTCAGTGTGCCTCTCTCACATCAATGTTTCTCTATCTTTCTCTTTCTTCCCCCTCCCTCCCTTCTACTCTGTCTAAAAAAATCAATGAAGAAAAGAGTAGGATCAATCTAGTTTTCCTCTACAACCAGATCGATCCTCTCTCAGGTGCACTGAGTGGTTACCCATTCAGTCAAGTCCAGATTTCTTCACCCTCAAGGCAGGTTTTTTTTTTTAAGGTTTCAAATGTACTTTATTTCTTCAATCATGCCATATTTTAATGGTACACAGTACTTTTGCTTGGCATCAGTTATGAGTTGGTTTTGAGACAATTCATTATTCCACCAGTTGGGATGATTATTGATCTCTCCATTCCTTTGGGGTGACTGCCAACAGGGACAAGTTCCATTCTATTCCAGTTTGTGTTGCTGTCTATGTCCATGTAGCCACACAGAAGGTGGCTCCACTAGCCAGCACAGTATTACAATATTTGTCATGGAAATCGGGTGGCTGTTTCTGGTGGCTCTGCCTTGCCATTATCTGCTGAATGCTCCGAACTGGGAGACGGCTTTTTGGAAAGAAACATCATGAAGCTGAAGACAGAACTGCAGCAACTGCAGCTGCTGACTTGGAACTTTGAGTCAAGTACCCTTGCAGAGAACCAAAGTTATTAAATTTAGGCTGTGATCAAAAGGAAATAAACAGATGTAAACAAAAGTTTGTATGTAAACATATATCACAGCTTGTTTGTTTTTTTTTTAATCCTCACCCGAGGACATTTTTCCATTTTCTGTTCAGGTAGAGTGGGAGGGAGAGAGAGGAAGAGAGAGAGAGAGAGAAACATCGATGTGAAAGGAACACATCGAGTGGCTGCCACCCCCACGACCGACCAGGGCCAGGGACAAACTGCAACCGAGGTACATGCCCCTAGCGGGAACTGAACCCGGGTCTCTCTGGACCACAGGTGGACGCTCTAACCGTTGAGCCAAACCGGCCAGGGCACAGCTTGTTTACAAGGACCCTTGGGAGGAAGTTCTCTCTGGTCTAATGGCATGAATATTGATGTTCTTAAACGACTAGTTAGTTTTTACATGAAATCTTTTAAGTATTTGTGCTTTTCTTTGTGTCTTGGCTGCTAGAAGGCTGAGAGTCAAACGTGTGATCTGTTTCTAGTAAGTATATAAGACTTAATAGCATAGGTGAAGAATAATGTAGGTTTGGTCCTGAAGAATAATGTAGGTTTCCACTAGAGGTTTTCTCAAAGGGGACATTCTGGGTGTTTACCCAGGGTACACCATCGTAAGGGTCCCAGATATCCTCTGGGACAGCTGCTCAAATGGTTCAGTGGCTATTATTCAGCAGGTGGGACCTCACTTTCATGCTGCTATTTCCTTGTGCTGCTTCCCTCTGGGTTCTGTGCAAGCTCGGGCTTCTGCCACCTGCTCCGTACTGTCGCTGCCGTGCGCGGCCCCCTGCGAATGGCGCTGTTCTTTTGCGCGCTCTCTGCTTTTCTTGAGAGAAATGCTGATGAGTGAAATTCTCTGCCTCATCACATAAGAAAAAGAATGTTCATCTTTTCCAACTCCATACCAGAAAAAAAATGAAATAACTGTAAGTTGTGTCTTAGAACTCAAGGAAGTCTCCTGGGTTGATGCTTGGGGTTCATTTCTTGTGGTTTTGTTTTATGGTTTGAGTTTAATGTTATTAAAATATGTCCTTTTCTTTTTTTTTCTAGGTGAATGTTGGATGTGTACCCAAAAAGGTAGAATTTTTATTTCTTATTTCTTCCACATACCTTTTACATGTTTGGTAAATCATGACGAGAATAAGGTTGTTTCCAACTGTTTCAGTTAAAATTCTTTCTGCAAAAAGTGAAAAACCGACTAAAAGTGGCTTAAACAATAGGGTAGTGGTTTTTGTTTGTTTTTTAATATCACTTATTAAGAAACCTGGAGGGGAAAAAAGAATCCTAGAGATAGGCAGTCTGAGATTGCCTTGGTACTTAGGATATCAAAGGACTGGCTTCCGTCTTTCCATTCTGATATCCTAGGTGTACAATCTACAGTAAACCCCCAGCCTCATGGCCACAGGATGGCTCCGGGAGCTCCAAGCAGGATGTGCTCACCCAGCACTGTTTCTGCAGATTGCTTTAGGTTCTCTTGGCCAGGGCTGAGCCATCCCTGCAGGCGAGCCTGGGGGAGGGAGGTGCTCCTGGGCAGATAAACACAGAAGTAATTAGCTCCTGGACACTAATTGCATTATGCGTGCAAAAGAAATTCATCCTGGATGTGTCTGTATGGAAAGTTTTCACCACATGGTGACAAAGTGAAAAAATTCCTGCGGGGGCACAGTGGGGAGGTACCCAGGAATGAAACACAGTGTCTAGTCTCAAACTTTTGATGGTCTATAAAGAACAGTGACCAACAAAACATCTGTAGTCTGGCATAAAAGAAAAGCAGTATCGGCCTGCACAGAATAACTTTTATCTCAGTAGGGAGATCCAGCCAGAAAATAAAAAGTTTATACCCACGCTCTGAGCAGTGGTTAGAGTGTCAGCCCGAGCACTGGAGTGTCTCGGATTCAATGCTGTCAAAGTCACATACCTGGGTTGCAGGTTCAATCACAGGGCGTGCATAGAAGGCAGCCAATTGACATGTCTCTCTCACATTGATGTGTCTCTCCCTGCCCTTCCTCCTTCCTTCCCTCCTTCCCTCCCATTCTCTCTTAAAAATTAAATGGAAAAAATATCCTCAGGTGAAGATTAACAACAACAAAAACATTTATACCCAACTCTTAGCCCAAGTGCTGATATGACCAAGACCAAGTGGATGATGTGGATGATGGTAGCAGATGGATGCTCCTCCCACACGTGGCTCTAGTTAACTACCTGGAATCCTGGGTGATGTTGCAGAGGGTGAGATCTTTATCTCAAGCATCTGGTCTTTCCACCTGTTTCAGTGCATCTCTGAATCATTTTTTTTTTTCCTTCTGGGGAGAATAGAAATATTTTTCTCCTGGAAAGACATGTCAAGATTGTCACAGTTTTTTTGTTTGTTTGTTTCATTTTGTTTGTGGGAGTTTTTGTTTTTAAATACAGAAATCAGTTTCCCTCTACATTGCCTATGATGAAATCATATATCATGTGACTTTGGATATCTTATGGCAATTCTAAGGTTGAATTTCTCAAGGTGCTTGAATGAATTTCTGAGTACAGTATTTGGATGGGTACCTTTGTGGTGAGTAGTCTGTTGATAGAGTTGCTGTGTACTTGGTCTCTAGTCCCCATCTTTGCTATTCCAGAAATTCAAGTTTATTGGTGTACTTGGGAGTAAATTGATGATCTGACATCATAAGAAATTGTTTTACAAATGATATTATCGATTTATCAGTTTAGAGTGAATTAGATTATATTGGGCCTAGTAATTAGGACAGGATAGCTTTTTCTCAATTCTTGAATAAAAATTTCTCAAGTATTTCCATTCAATTCTTTAGCCCCATGGATTCTCTTTACCACTGCAGTGGTTGTTGGTCCTGATAGCTGTGGTGCAGGTCACATTGAATGAACTCGTCCTTACCTGTGACAAAGAGGAAGAAATGACAGCTCTTATTTTCAAAGCTGCCTCTTGCTTATACTTGCTAATAATTTTACTCCTTGTTTAAATGTACTTTCAAAATATGTTATAATCCTAAACTTACAACCTTTTGTTATTGAGATTACATTTTATTTATTTATTAATTAAAAAATATTATTAACTGATTTTAGAGAGAGAGGAAGGGAGAGAGAGAGAGAAACACCAGTGTGAGGAGAAACATCAGTTGGCTATCTCCTGCATACTTCCTAATGGAGATTGAGCCCACAACCCGAGCTTGTGCCCTGACCAGGAATTGAATCAGCAACCTTTTGGTGCATGGGACAATACCCAACCAATTGAGCCTCACCAGCCAGGACGAAGGTTACATTTTAAATTGGCAGCTATCTGCCCTGGCCGGTTTGGCTCAGCAGTTAGAGCATCAGCCTGTGGACCAGAGAGTCCCAGGTTCGGTTCCCACTAAGGGCATGTATCTTTTTTTTTTTTACCCTCACCTGAGGACATTTTTCGATATTTTGTTCAGATAGAGTGGGAGGGAGAGAGAGAGAGAAACATCGACGTGAAAGCCAGAAAACATAGACGTGAAAGAGAGAGAAACATCGAGTGGCTGCCACCCGCACGACCCAACCAGGGCCGGGGACAAACTGCAACCAAGGTACGTGCCCTTAGCGGGAACCGAACCCGGGTCTTTCTGGATCGCAGGCTGACGCTCTAACCGCTGAGCCAAACTGGCCAGGGCAAGGGCATGTATCTTGGTTGCAGTTTGTCCCTGGCCCTGGTTGGGGTTGTGTGGGTGGCGACCACTCGATGTGTCTCTCTCACATCAATGTTACTCTCTCTTCCTCCCTCTCTCCCTCCCGTTCTATCTGAAGACAAATGCAAAAATGTCCTTGGGTGAGGATAAGAAAAAAAATTAAAATAAATAAGGAAATAAATTAATTAATTGGAAGTTTTCTGGTATAGAAGCAAATATCCTTATCTCATCAGTGACACACGCCTGAGTTTAATTCCAGAAAGGTTTTCTGTAATCTATTGGTAGAGTTTTATTTCTGTTTTAGGAAAATTTTTTTCTGTGGGACATTTTTCCTCAAATTTTTTCTTTCCTTTTTGTCCTAGATATTGGAATCTGTCCTACTTGGAATCTTGCAATTACGGATATATGGATTATATAAATTAGTTATAAGGTGGCTTTATGTAGTTCAAACCAACTATGGGAGTGAATTTGCTATTGATTGGTGCTACCTCATTATTTTAAAATACCCTCTGGGCTGATATTTGATGTAACCTCATTGTGGACTGAATTTTTTTTTTTAATTTGTTCTTTATTTAATTTTAGAGAGAGAGGAAAGGAGAGGGAGAGAGAGACAGAAACATCGATGGGAGAGAACATCAATTGGCCGCCTCCTGCACGCCTCCCACTGGGGGTTTGGCCCACAACCTGGGCATGTGCCCTAACCGGGAATCGAACCGGTGACCTCTTGGTGCATGGGTCAACACTCAATCACTGAGCCACACCGGCCGGGCACATGGAATGAATTTGTAATATTTTTTCCCATATATTTTACTTACCCTTCTATTCTGGTCACATGTGCTAGACATCTACCTTATATTTTTATAAGGCTCTATTGATTTCAAAATGCTTTTGCATTCTTGAAATCAGTTGGTAATTACCTCTTGCTTTGTAGAGCAGAGTGAAGCCGAGAATAACTGCCCCTTGTACAGGGCAGAGTGAAGCAGCAGTAGAGAAGGAACCGGCTGGGCGGGCCCACCACTGCTCTGATTAGCTCTCAGCCTAAAAGCCAGTGCAGTTCGGATAGAGCACCCTCTCCAGAGGGTTAGATGCCATAGCATCGTACATACTACAGATTGGAAGGAAATAAATATGGTACCTCAGGATAATATGAGGTATAGTGGTGTTTCTTAAAATAACATAATTTACTTGTGGTAATAAAATTTCATATGCCTTGTTTAAGATAAAGAATCCAGTAGATAAAATGGTTCATTCTATATATTACATGAATTTCACCTCAGTAAAAGAAACAGAATCTAGCAGTCATCGATTTATTCATCTTTAGGCATAAAGAAAGAAAAATGCAAACAGGGAATCTTAAGACTTGTCAGAAGTGGAATTAAGACTTGTATGACAAAGAAAAATGGTAGTTTGGCTGTCATCTAGACTTCCGGATGCCAATTTGAATTCATTTATCACGATGATTAGTTGGCATTAAAAGACTTTTACAGATTATAGGCTATATTCCTCAAGAGATGTGTTGAACCTTTGAGTTCCAGGTGTCTGATTACATACGTTCTTATAAGAGCGTGTTCATTGTTACTGAATACATAACAGGAATTCATTCTCTTAAAGTTTTCAGTCCTCAACTTTGCCTAATAGCTTCCTTCCAAATCACTGTACTGTAAAGGTCCAGATACGATTCCATTTCCTGGAACTAATCACAAAAGACAGGGCTTAAAGAAATCTGAAGCTTAAAGAGAGAATGTAAACAGTAATAAATGTTGATGAAACGTCTATGATCCTTATAATGTCCTGCTTTTACAGAGTTTATAAACTAGGGAATTTAACTTTAGTAGTAATTTTCCCTAACATTTCAAAGCCTCCCTATAAAATCTATCTGGTCATATTTCTGAACTTTCTCTTTTAAAATATTTAGTTTTGATTTTAATTTAAAGGTCAGTATTATTATTATCTGCTATTACATCGTTACCTTTCATTCACGATTTTTGTTTCAGGACTCATGTACCCCTGTTTGGGTAACTTTTTTTTTTTTCTTACAGGTAATGTGGAACACAGCTGTTCACTCTGAATTCATGCATGATCATGCTGATTATGGCTTTCAAAGCTGTGATAGTAAATTCAATTGGCGGTAAGTGTTCATTCTCAGAGGATTCTTTTTACAAATATAAATGTTTTTCTTTCATAATTAAATGTGCCATAAACTTTTTCAGGGGGCTGTATTGTAAAATATATGTAACAAGCTTTTGGAGGTGATGGACATGTTTATGGCCTTGATTGGGATGAGGGTTTCACTTATCTCTAAACTCATCAAGTAGTATACATTAAATTTGTATATATATCGATACACAACATCAAATGTCCATTTTAACCATTTTTAAGTTGTTAATTCAGTGGCATTGAGTATATTCATAGTGTTGTGCCAGCATTAGCACTGTCCATTTACAGAACTTTCCCACCATCCCAAACAGAAACAAAGTTGTTCAGTGTACCCGTTAAATAATAACTCATCTACCCTCCTCCGAGCCCCTAGTATCTCAATTCTACTTTCTGTCTTTATGAATTTGCCTATTCTAGGTACTTTCTAAAGTATTTGTCCTTTTATGCCTGGCTTATTTCACTTAGTATAATGTTGTCAAAGTTCATCCTTGTGCCCTGTGTCAGAATTTCAATCCTTTTATTTATTTAAACAAATTTTTTCTTTATTGATTTTAGAGAGAGAGGAAAGGAGAGGGAGAGAGAGAGATAGAAACATCAGTGAGAGAGAACATTGATCTGCCGCCTCCTGCTTTCCCCCCACTGGGGTTTTGGCCCACAACCTGGGCATGTGTCCTGACCGGAAATCGAACCGTTGACCTCTTGGTGCATGGGTCGATGCTCAACCACTGAGCCACACCAGCTGAGCAGAATTTCAGTCTTTTTAAAGGCTGAATGATATTCTTTTACATTTATATACCATATTTTGTTTCCATTCATTTTTCAATGATCTATTAGTTTTTTTCCACCTTTGTCTATAACCCTGCTATAAACATTGGTCTACAGACTCATGCTTTCAGTTATTTGGGGTCTATACCCAGAAGTGGAATTGCTGGGTCATGCGCAATTTTGTATTTAATTTTTTAAGAAGCTGCCCTGGCTGGTTTGGCTCAGCGGTTGGAGCATCGACCTGTGGTCCAGAGAGACCAGGGTTCAGTTCCCGCTGGGGGCGTGTGCCTTGGTTGTGGTTTGTCTCCGGCCCTGGTTGGGTGGTGTGGGTGGCAACCACTCGATGTGTCCCTTTCACGTGGATGTTTTTCTCTCTCTCTCTTCCTCCCACTCTATCTGAACAAAAAAAAAGAAAAAGAAAAAATGTCCTCGGGTGAGGATTAAAAAAAAAAAAGAAGCTGCCATAAACTTTTTGAAGCCATCAAATTTTATAAAAATTTAAGCAGATTCATTCATTTATTCATTAAATATTGAGTGGCAAATGTGATTTGCAGATTATTTATTCCCTTAAATGCAATCAATCATTTAGTTCCAATAAGCTCTTACTGCTGCCGTGCTAGGCAGGGTGCCAAAGCAGCTCTCCTTGTCTTCTGTGCAAAAGATAATGTGTTTATATACCATGGATGCCAACTGAACATTCTCCATGGAGTAGAATAGGGGTTCTTCACATGTGGGAGAACAGATGGACATGGGAGGGGTGGCTACTGTCTTTAGAGACATTGACTCATGGTGTTCATGCTGACAGTCTGTGACTCTGTTCAGGGACAGATGCCCTAGTTACTAACTGAAAGAGGGGAATCCTCTTTCTCAGTACTGACTCGGGTTTCACTGCAGGGTTATAAAGGAAAAGCGGGATGCCTATGTGAACCGCCTGAACACCATCTATCAAAATAATCTGACCAAGGTGAGTGTGCTGGCTTTTGAACTTTGAGAAGTTGCTGTTCTGCTGAAATATGCTAACAGGTCTGGCCTTACTAAAGCATAGCCATTGCCTGTATTGTTTCTGTTACACCTTTTATGATGAATAATTCTGAGATTGACCTGAGAATCATGATTCTGAGGAGCTCTGACTTGGTAGGCGAGTCTTTTTTCTGCAGAGAGGTGTGCCAGCGTTGGAAGACCAGGTCTCACCTGGTGGCTGTACCTTGAATAGGTCTGGCCGCCCACTTAGTTTCAGAAGCCAAACACAAGAGACTGAATATACAAGTTTATTAATTAAAATCAGGAGCATTATCTGGCTGGAAACTTGCTGTTATTTGCTCAGAGCGCCCTCATTCGTGGTGGCTGAATCTACTCAGGGGTCCAAATTGTGGTTCACAATGTTGTTTTGTGAATGAAATCTCATCAAGAAAATTGGGCAAAGGTGGGTTTGTCTTTAGACAATATATGTTGTCCTTGGCTCTCCTGAGGCTTTTTCCATCTTAGTGCTTAGACGTCAGACCTCTCCCACGGCCAGACACATTGACAAGTTGTATACCATTGACTCTCCTTTTTCTTGATGGCGTATATCTCACCACCCTTCATTTGCCTTTATGGTCTCACTTTGCAGTTTCTAAGATTTGAATGTAGCTTAGGTTATATTTATTTATTTTATTATTATTTTTTTTAAATCCTCCCCTGAGGATATTTTTTCATTGATTTTTAGATAGAGTGGGAAGGAGAGAGAGAGAAATATTGATGTGAGAGAGACACATTGATTGGCTGCCTCCTGCTTGACCCTGGGCTAGGGATTGAATCTGCAACCTAGGTACAAGCCCTTGACTAAGAATCGAACCCAGGACTCTAAGGCCCATGAGCCGACACTCTAAACACTGAGCCAACCAGCCAGGACCGCTTAGGTTATACTTAGATCAGTAGATTCTCGATGATTTTCGGGCCACTGTAATATCATTAGCAGATTGTTGATAAGCCAGTTTTTAGCATGAGTTACTTTTACAGATGGCTAGCTATATATATATATATATATATATATTTAGTATTTTTAATTGATTTTTTTAAAGAGAGGGGAAGGGAGAGGGCGAGAGAGAAATAGAAACATCCTTGAGAGAACATTGATTGCTGCCTCCTACATGCCCCCTAGAGGGATTCAAGCCCGCAACCTGAGCATGTGCCCTGACTGGGAATTGAACCAGTGACCTCTTGGTGCATGGGACAATACTCAATCCACTGAGCCACTCCGGCTAGGCTAACGTCATATATTTTTATATTGATTCTTATCATTCATTGGGTTTCTTTTCTGACCTTAATCCCCAATTCAAGGGGAAAATTTTGGGGGCCTTTCAGTGCCCTAGGCACTGACGAAAAGACATTTTAAGTTCATTAGACATGAGTGTAGAGATACCACTTGATATACTAAAACACCCACATCAAATTTTATTAAAAAGTGTAGCTAGCTAAAATGCAAAAGAGATAGGAAAATCACTCAAGAAATAGCATTATTTTTGCCCTTGCTGAGTGGCTTAGTTGGTTGGAGCATTGTCTATATACACCAGAAGGTTGCAGGTTTGATTTCTGATCAGGGCACTTACCTAGGTTGTGGGTTCAATCCCTAGTTGGGGCATATCCTCGGGTGAGGGTTTAAAAAAAAAAAAAGAAACAGCATTTAAAAAAATACTTTCATTGATCTTTGGAGAGAGAGAAACATTGATGTGAGAGCGAAACATTGTCTCCTGCATGCCCCCTACACCTGGGATTGAGCCTGAAACCCAGGCATGTGCCCTGACCGGGAATCGAACCAGTAACCTTTCAGTGCACAGGACGATGCCCAACCAATTGAGACACCAGCCAGGACAAACAGCATTTTTTAATACTCACAAATCTTGGTGTACTGTAGAACTTACTATGACTTTATGGGAAAGGAATTCTGAATAGGAAAGGAAACTTTCTGCCAGATATCCTAGGAAATGAAAATAAAAATTTCATCAGTTCTTCCCCCAAACTATTATCTATATTATTGCCACTTGACCCATACCCATTTTTGCCTAGCACCCCATAGGAAATTATCACCTCCTAAAGGAAGATTTTTCTGGAGGCTTGTGGCTTTTGCTTTTGTTAGTTTTGTTAATCCTCACTTGAAGATATTTTTTTCCATTGTTTTTTTATAGAGAGTAGGGTGGGGGAGGGAGACAGAAAGAGAAACATAGAGGTGAGACAGACACAACAGTAGGTTGCCTCCCGCATGCACCCTAGCTGGGCCAGGGATTGAACCTGCAATCCCAGGGATATGCCCTTGACCAGGAATTGAACTCATGACTCTTCTCTCCGTGGGTCGGTGCTCTTACCACTGAGCCACAAAGGCCAGGTTGGCTTGTGGCTTTTGCCATTGATCTTATTCAGCCTGATTAAGCAGGGCACCTGCAGAGCAGGCCTGGAGGAGTGATTACAATAACTAAGTTCAGAACCAAGCAGGTTCTAAAATGTTAAAGCATTCTATTCTGTGATCCTGTTTGCATGATTCCATTATCCTTGTGACTTGCCCATATTTGCATGTCAGCACACGTATCATGACTAGCAGAAGCTTGCTGGTAATCTTCTGTCCCCGAATTGAGGCTCCCCAAATGGAGGCCCTGGCAAGGTAAAAGCAAGTGAGAGAGTCTGAGTTCTCAGCATCTTAGGCATAGAACTTCCTTGTCATGTAATTTTGTGGTATTCTTCCCATGGTGTTTAAGAAAACAGAAGCACTGCATTTTCTTGCCTTGGCCTAAGTGTTTCTCCCTTGCCTCTAAACTCCCTTTGCTTTTATCCTTTTTTCTTTCTCAGCCCTCTGTTCCTCCTCCAGACAGCCTCATTCTTCAGTGTTTTCATTGCAAGTGAGGAAGCCTTTCTCTCTCAACTCTTGGGGACAAAAATATCTTTTTCCTTGTGTGAATGACTTGCATAAATTATTTTGGTCTCTGGGTTTTGAAAAACCGGACAACAAATGGGTCCGGCCTCCTGTCACTACTTAAGCCAAGTAAGCAGAGACAAGTTTGAATCGTATCTGCGCATTTATTCCAATGTCGCCGGCAGTATGGGAGAGCAGTGGGCCATCCCGTAAAATCTGCTGTGTTCCTCCCCCAACTTTCTAGCCAGCTGTTTTTAAAAGGTACAAAGACAAAAACTGTGAGAAAGGCAGGCCAAAAAAAAAAAAAGGTGAAGTGGTTACAAGCAATTACAATCAAGGGGAATGAATGTGGGCTAGGGGTGGTCGCCAGTGTCACCTCTGGGTTTCCCTGTGCTCCGATAACCAGGTCGTTAATCTTTCCATGATGTTGAGCAGTTTTCCCTTTTTCTCAGATTAGGAGAATGGACAGCATTCCTGAGGTAAACTCCCAGGGCGTACCACTCCCTGTTCTTTAATCAGAACAGAGCAGTCATGATTAACATGATTAACAGAGCAAGGATGATTAACATTTCTATTTCTTATAACTATGGCTAGTGTTCCACTATGTCTAGTTCCCTATTATTCTATTATTCTCTCCCACCCCTTTCAGTTTGAGCCCCAAATACCACCTTTATTTCTTCTTGTACACTTCCATCATTGAACGGCAACCCCCTTACCTAGGTATCAATTAACAGAAGTTCTGTAGAAACTCGAACATTGAGAGTTGTCTTGACCCAAAATCGAAATCCTCTTAGAGAAATGGAAAGCGCTGATAGGTTGCAGGTGTTTTGTTTTATCTTAAGAACATTCTCATGTCAGGCATGGTTCCTTCTCCAGGCCCATATAGAAATCATCCCTGGCTATGCAGCATTCACCTGTGATCCCCAGCCCACAGTAGAGGTCAGTGGGAAAAAATACACGGCTCCTCACATCCTGATTGCAACAGGTGGCGTGCCCTCACATCCACGGGAGAGCCAGATCCCCGGTGAGTCTTCCAAAGGCAAATGCTTGTGAATAACAGCCAGGGCGAGTTTATTGGAGGGAGAGTGAAGCCGAGCCAGCAAAGAGTCTACGTACTCTTGAGAGCTGAGAAAATTTTAGTTCCACAGAGAGATTTGATAGTTATTTGGCCATCACTGCTCTTATTTCTAGAGAGAAAATAAAAATATCAACTCAGGGAAGACTTGGTTGGCAGCTTCCCAAGTGAGGACTTTTAAAAAACTTGTCAAAACAGAGAGTGTGATAGCTGAGGAAGTATTGGGTTTTGCATAAAATGTTATGATTGTTTTCCAAGAGAAAGCTCAGTCTGTGCCGTCTATATTGCATTTTCCTACGTAGGTGCCGGCCTAGGAATAACCAGCGATGGATTTTTTCAGTTGGAAGAATTGCCTCGGTAAGCTGGTGTCCTTCCTGACCTCAGTGTTCATTCTCCCTCAGTCTTTCCTGCTGACATTTCTCCCTCTCCACCCCCAGCTATTAAATGCAGGCATTTCCTGATTCTGTTCTCCCACCTCTTCTCTTTTTATGACGTTGGGTATCATTCACTTGTACCCCTCATTAAGTGACTCAGATCTTTCATGCCTTTGATCAAAGGCCACTGTAGAATTTTTAGAGCCAGAATCAAACACAGGATGGTTTTGAAGAATAGTAAAGCCCTAAAAGTATCTTCTGTCTTCAACTTGATACCACATCAATTGATAATGTGTCTCGAGTAACTGTTTCTGGTTTTCAGAGCAGCTGGTGCAGAGGGCTCTCCATAAATGAAGACTCTGTCAGTCTCACGAAAAGAAATTTTCTGATATCGTTCTTTCTATGTGTTTGTCCAAATAACCTTAGTAAACCTCTGTCATGGGTTTAGATACACAGAGAGGAAAAAGATAATGAGGAAGACTTTCCCTAACTTGAAGAAGCTGCCAATTTGCAGGCTTTCTAGGGTAGAGACTTGATCTCCTGAATAAACAGTCTGGAGTCAGCAGCTCAACTCTGCTGTTCCATTAATGGGTGCTGCCACTCCAATTTGAGGTCTTAAATGTGTGCTTTTATAAAGGCTTTCATGGGGGAGCAGGAGAGGGTGGCTAAAAATTCATGCCCTTTACCTTTACCTGAATTCACCTGGAGCCACAGTTAATGCAGGACACGAGGGCTTCTTTGCCGTTGCATAGCTGCAGTGAAGGTGTCCTGTTAAGATATGCAGACCAGGCAGTCTTTTGACTTCAAGAAAATGGCCTTTTTAGGTTTGCTGTCTGCAGGGCATGGAAACATGTTAGAGAACAGCTTTTCTTCCCTCGTGATCCATCCTGTACCGTTTGGTTTTAGGGTGAAATAATATGATGTGTGGTCACGACTCATCTTGCTTAGATAACATAATTCAATCCAGTCTTTCCCTCCAAGATGTTTTATTATATAGATATCTGTCCATTAAACATTTTAAAATCAGTTGTTAAACTCGCATTGCTAGCAATAAATGAATTTAAATGAACTCATTCAAATTGTACCAATGTCAATTTCTTAGTTTTGACAATGGTACCATGGTTATGTAAGATGTTAACTTGAAGAAAAAACGGGCAGAGATGTACAGGGCTTCTCTGTACTAGCTTTTCAACTTTCCTGTCAATCTAAAATTATTCTAAAATAAGCTTTATTTAAACATACCGACCCCGTGTTCTCACTTCAGCCGCAGTGTTATTGTTGGCGCAGGATACATCGCTGTGGAGATAGCCGGAATCCTTTCTGCCCTGGGTTCTAAGACATCACTCATGATACGGCATGACAAGGTAAACTCTGTCCTTTTGCCTTTTCTTTCCTTGATGTTAATCTTTTTAAAAATCTACAGTGGGAATCTTCTCTTATGTTGTCATTAAAGACTAGGGTGTGAAGCATGTGGAGGTTGGCTACTGTGTTCCATGGGGGGCTGCATAGATGCCATTGGAGTTCAGCCTTATGTCCTTCCCAGCTGCCACCTGCTAGTTGATAATAATGATTTTGATTTCATCAAACTGGTTGGTATTTTCATCATGAAGTAATAGATAGTGTCAGATGCCTTAATAAGGAGACATGCAAGCTTCAATATAAATATTAGCTAAATTGAACAGACTATATCAGTTCAATTTCTTTTTCTGGAAATCAATTTCATATGATCAGGCAGTACTGGATTTTTAACACTCAGTCAACTAAGTTCTTTGCCTTAAAAGGAAAAATATCAAAAATACTTACATACCAATATTCATGGCAGCATTATTCGCAATAGTCAAGAGGTGGAAGCGACCCAGTGTTCATTGGTGGATGAATGGATAAGCATAATGTAGTGTATTCATATAATGGAATATCATTCAGCCTTAGAAAGGAATGGCATTCTGACCTGTTACAATGTGGATGAACCTCGAGGGCATGCTAAATGAAATCAACCAGTCACAAAAAGACAAATACTATGTTATTTCACTTCTCTGAGGGTATCTAGAGTAGTCAGACTCATGGAAACAGAGAGTGGAGTGGGGGTGGCTGCCAGGGGCTGGGAGGAGGAGGAAATGGGGAGACGTTGTTTAATAGCTATAGTTTCTGTTTTTGAAGAGAAAAAAGCTCTGGGGATCAGCATAGCCATAGGAGTGTACTTAACACTTTGGAACTGTACACTTAGAAGTGGTTATGTTGGTAAATTCAATGTTACACATTTTTTACCACACAAAAAAAATAAAAATAAAGGAAGCCCATAGATCATCTGCTTGAACTTCACTTTAAGGCCAACAGAGGTTTAGTAAGTGCTAATTAGTATTAAAACAGAGTCAACTAAGGTCTCAGAAGCCCAGGACAGCATTTTTTCTGCATTTTGTCACTAATGATGAAGTGTTGCTCTGTTTTTGTTTTTTAATTTTTTTTATTGCTTTTAGAGAAAGAGGAAGGGAAAGGGAGATAGAAACATCATAAGAGAGAATATTCATTGGCCACCTCCTGCATGCCCCCAGTGGGGATTGGACCCACAACCTGGGCATGTGTCCTGACCGGGAATCGAACTGACGATCTCTTGGTGCACGGGTCGACGTTCAACCACTGAGCCACAGCAGCCAGTCTCTGTCTGTTTTTTTATTACTTGTGACTTAGCACCAATGGGTTGTGGGGGCAGTATGGGGGCGTACAGGGACCTAGTGTGGGACAGTCATAGGAGAGTTGGCCCAAGAATTTGGCTGCCCCTAACAGGTGTGTGACTTGGGCAAGTCATTTAATGCTTTGTAACAGGATTTATCAGATCCCTGACCAGTCAGATGCTATGGTTCAAATTCTTGATTATTTGAGCAAATGGAGGCAGATGAGGGAACCTGATCAGCTTCGTCAATGTGTACTCCAAGGAACTTTCTTTTTGGCTTTGAGACTTGTTGTATAATTAACCCCTAGGAGATTTGTGTCCTGAATAATGTTTTTCATAGGTAAATGTTGTTTTTGCATTGCTGGAATATAGCCAGCAAATTGGAAGGAAGGAGGAAGGCAGAGGGATAACTAGGCTGAATCTAATATATAAATAAGCAAATAAACTGCAGCAGCTTATCAGTAGAGTGGTTCATTTCCTGCATATGGAAAAGGGGCCAGTTTGCTAAGAGCCATATCTACTGGGACTTCCTGCCCTGCCCCATCCCCACCCAATACATCAGGCTCATTCTCCCTCTTCTCCCTGTTCCAGTGTAACTCGATTGTAGAAATAGCCTATAAATTACTCATGACCACTCCCTTTCCACCTTTACCCTGCCTGGGGTATGTTGCATGTGTGTTATAACAAAGACATTGCTAGAGGAAGAAAGGTTTCCTATGAGAAAAGAAAAGCTGCTAGATGGTAACAACTATTATTTTATTTTATTTATTTTAAAATTTTTTTTCTTTATTGATTTTAGAAAGAGAAAGGAAGGGAGAGGGAGAGGGAGAGAGAGAGACAGAAACAGAAACATTGATGGAGGAGAATATCGATTGGCCACCTCCTGCATGCCTCCCACTGGGGATTTGGCCCACAACCTGGGCATGTGCCTTGACTAGGAATCAAACTGGTGACCTCTTGGTGCATGGGTTGATGCTCAACCACTGAGCCACACCGGCCAGGCACAACTATTATTTTAAACACTAGTCTCCCTAGGGCAGTAATGAAAGCCGTCAAAAGAACATTGTAATCCAACTGGAAATAATATTGAACTATTTTTTAAAAAGGACAAAAATCTTGGTAGCAAAAAGGTAGACTAATTATTATGTCAGTTCTATTTCTTATTTTAATGATGCTATACTATAGAATTCATATGGCTCCTAATTAACTCAAGGTGGTATCATTTTCATACTCATGGCACTTCATAAGGGCAAGCAAAGAATAGCTATTTCAGCATCTTTTTTTCTTTTAATCCTCACCCGAGGACATTTTTCATTTTTTGTTCAGGTAGAGTGGGAGGGAGAGAGAAACATCGATGTAAAAGGGACACATCGAGTGGCTGCCACCCACACGACCAACTAGGGCTGGGGACAAAGTGCAACCGAGGTACGTGCCCTTAGTGGGAACCGAACCCGGGTCTCTCTGGACCACAGGCCGATGCTCTAACCGCTGAACCAAACTGGCCAGGGCTATTTCAGCATCTTAAGTGAAAATTAACAAATGATAATGATATTTATCTCTAGGGATATTAGACGCTAAAGACATTGCTTATTCATATAAGTGCCAATATGGAAGGGAGGGAGGTAGACAGAGAGTTAGTGTGTGAGAGAGAGAGAGAGACAGACACATTGATGTGACTCCAAATGCTCTTTAAATCTTACAGGTCTACTTAAATTAATACTATCGGTTAATCTATCCAGTGTCACTGGGTTCTGCAGGTTAGTTACATACCTTAGGTTGTTTCCTTGTTACTAGTTTTACTTGTCTTTAATTGTGTCTTTTGTGTGAAAGAGGCCTGATCACATCTCATTCGATTCATTGCCTTCTTTAATTAGTTTAGCTGACTCCTAATTCTCCTTCATTATCAATTCCATAATCTTCCCATGATTCATACCATCTTTGAGGCTGCCTGCATACCTTAAGAAGAATTAAGATAGACTTTCACCAATAATGTGTAGAAAAGTGTGGATTTTCTGTTTTCTTTCCAAAAATCCACCTTTCCCACTGAGTATCCTCTTCCTCTTCCATCACCCCTATCATTTCATCACCAGGGTCATTATCACCTCTGTCATCATCACCACCAAGTCCTCCATAAATATAGTATTTACTGGTATCTTGATCAGCTATTGTGATTTGTTGGGTTTGAACATCACTCCAAGTATATACTGAACCCTCATAAAAGCAATCTCATCAGACATGGCCCCTGTTTTCCAGAAGGCCCCTGTTCTCTTGCCTATTTGCCACTTTGTTTTCTCAAATTTCTTCCATTCAAACCAGCCTGCTTGCTATTCCCCATCTGTACCCTGGTCCCATCTCCTTATATTTATATGGACTCTTCTGCTTCCCCTTCCCAAATCATCGAGAGCCGGTGCAAATGCCCCATTCTCCATGAAACCGTTCCTGCTCTCTTCTGTATAATTTCTGTCTTTTATAAACCACCTTATCTGTTCGTCCTTTACATTAATTTTTTTATTCTGATACTTTATGTCTTCCACATTGTAGAGCTTAATATTTGCTGATAGAATGAATGGTGATTTACATTGTTGACCTCAATTTAGTTTATAAGAGTCACATGTCTTTCTCTTCCACTGGAAAGGGCACAGAGGTGTCCGTATGCTATTTGTATCCTCCTTGCACCTTTTAGAGTAAATCTTATCAAAACAGACACTCACTGCATGTCTACTAATGTAAAATACGATAGCATTCTGACAAAGACTAAGTGAATGCTATGAAAAAGGTGAAGTATGAGAATATAGTTTTGCTTTTAATTTTTTTTTAAATTCTCGATATTTTTCCATTGATTTTTAGAAAGAGTGGGGGGAAGAGGGGGAGAGAGAGACAGACAGACAGACAGACATTGATCGATGTGGGAGATATACATTCATTGGCTGCCTTCCACATGACCCCGACTGGGGCCGATAATCAAACCCAGGACTCGTCTGTCCATGGGTCGATGCTCTAACTGCTGAGCCAAACTAGCCGGGGCAAGAGAATATTGTTATAAAAGCAATGTTAAAGAATATGTAAATGCCTTGGGAGATAAAACTTATCAATTGCCCTGAACATCCTACCTCAACTTGGTATTCTGAACTCAACTAAAAAATAAAGTGTTTCCATAGATATGGAGGGCAGATTAATGAACCTTGATTCTGAGAATATGAAGAGGTCCTATCTCTTCACTCCCCATTTAGTGACACTAATAATTGAACTGACCGATGTGATAAGAGAGGGGCTTTCTCTATCTTCATTCTCTCATGTTCTCTTTGCCTTCCCAGGATCTATAGGCCTACAAGGGGTACTGGAGCAGAAGTTGTCTACCCTGATAGGCAGACAGTGGTCAGTTCTTAGAGGTTCCAGTGCCTTCATTTTATTGATTTTTTTTTGTTTTTGGTTGTTGTTAATCCTCACTCGAGGATATTTTTCCATTGATTTTTAGTTAGAGTGAAAGGGAGGGAGGTGGGGAGAGAAAGAGAGAAACATCGATGTGAGCCTGGCCGGTTTGGCTCAGCGGTTAGAGCGTCGGCCTGCGGTCTGGAGAGACTTGGGTTCGGTTCCCGCTAAGGGCATGTACCTCGGTTGCAGTTTGTCCCCGGCCCTAGTTGGTCATGTGGATGGCAGCCACTCGATGTGTCTCCTTCACGTCGATGTTTCTCTCTCTGTCTTTCTGTTCCTCTTTCTCCCTCCCACTCTATCTGTACAAAAAATGGAAAAATGTCCTCAGGTGAGGATAAAAAAAAAAAAAAAAAAGAAACATCGATGTGAGAGAGACACATCAGTTGGTTGCCTCCCACACGACCCCAGTGGCCAGGGATCAGCCTGCAACCCAGGCATATGCCCTTGACTAGGAATCGAACCTGTAACCCTTTGGTCCTTGGGCCAAGGCTCTAGCTGCTAAGCCAAACCAACCAGGGCTATTTTATTGAATTTTTTTTTTTTTTTATGCATTTTCAGATAGAGCCGGAGGGAGAAAGGGAGGAAGAGAGAGGGAGAGAGAAACATCGATGTGAGAGAGACACATCGACTGGTCGCCACCCACACGACCCCAACTGGGATGGGACAGACTGCAGCCAAGGTATGTGCCCTTAGCGGGAACCGAACCCGGGACACTCTGGTGTGCGGACCGATGCTCTAACCACTGAGCAAAAGCGGCCAGGGCTATTTTATTGAATTTTTATGAGTTTATTTGAGCCAAACTCAATGATGACATATGCTGGAGAGCAAGGTCTCAGATGCTCTCTCCAGTGCCTTTAAATGGCCTCCAGGACTATATGACGGAAGAAGCAAGCACATAATGTCATGGAGAGAACTTGATCTGAAGAATCAGATTGAGTTCAGTTTCAGTCCTGGCTCTAATACTTTCTAAGAATCACTCCATTTCTTGGAGCCTCAGCTTCTTCATCTGAAAAAAATGAGCATAACGTTTTGTACCCCATAAGATCATTAGAAGGGCCCTGGCCAGTTTGGCTCCGTGGTTAGAGCTTCAGCCTCTGGACCAAAGAGTTGTAGGTTTGATTCCAGCCGAGGGCACATGCCTTGGCTGCAGTTCGTCCCTGGCCTGGTCAGGGTCAAGCGAGAGGCAACCGATGGATGTGTCTCTCTCACATCAATGTTTCTCTCTCTCTCTCTCTCTCTCTCTCTCTCTCTCTCTCCCTTCTTTCTTCCCTCCCACTGTATCTGAAGATAAATGGAAAAATATCCTTGGGTGAGGATTAAAGGAAAAAAAAAAGATCATTAGAAGGATTTCAGGGTAAGTAACTGTAGGTGGATGAATAGACAGACATTCTCTAGAACACCTAGCATTTCAGAATAAAAGACATAATGTTTTCAACTTTGTCGGGAACTTTAATGGAAATGAATTCCATATTTACCAAATTTAGAACCCTAAAATAGTTTGAGATCTTAAATAGTAAGACTAGTATAAAAAGGAAATCTCACCCCGCTGGTATGACTCAGTGGATTGAGCATCATCCCATGGACTGAGAGGTCCCAGTTTGATTCCTGGTCAGGGCACATGCCCAGGTTTTGGGCTCGATCCCCAGTAGGGGGCGTGCATGAGGCAGCCAGTTGATGTTTCTCACATCGATGTTTCTATCCTTTCCTTTCTCTCTAAAAAATCAATAAAAACATATTTTTAAAAAAAGAAAGAAAGAAATCTCCAAAACGATGCTATTGATTTTTCTGCCTAGATAAGGAGATGTTACTAAAGAATCTTCTTTACATCATATCAGAGGAAACGCTGGCCTTTGAATACTGAAAGGGGAAAGAATTTCTGGTCCCTAAACTTATGGAAAAGAGAAACAAACTTGGGAGGAAAGGACATGGTGAAGGCAGTGGAGGCCTGAAGGTTGCCTATCTATTTAACTCTAAAGCAGCAGTTGGTGAAGTCAGATATAATACAGACATGGGTGGTGACATAGGAAAATAGATTTATTAAAACTGCAGTCCCACCCGGCCAGTGTGGCTCAGTTGAACACATCCCATGCACCAGGAGGTCGCTGGTTCAATTCCTGGTCAGGGCACATGCCTGGGTTTCAGGCTCGATCCCCAGTAGTGGGGTATGCAGGAGGCAGCCAATTAATGTTTTTCTCTCATCGATATTTCTATCTCTCCCTCTTTCTTCCTCTTTCTCTAAAATAAATTTTAAAATATATATTTTTTAAAAGCTGTACTCACAGTATAACCAGGAATGACGAAGGAGATAAGAAGGAGGATAATGAAATTTCCCTCCCAAGTTAGTAGCATAACTTTAATCAAGTTTTTTTTTTCCTTTCCTACCACCATCCCTCTGCTGCCTCTGTTTGTATACAGGTACTTAGAAATTTTGATTCAATAATCAGTTCCAACTGCACTGAAGAGCTGGAGAATGCTGGCATAGAGGTCCTGAAGTTCTCACAGGTATGACCAACCAGGGCACACCTGCAGCCCCTTAGTCTTGTCTGTCATGAATCCCACTTTGTGCTTTGGCTTCACTCCATTTGTTTTATAAGTACAAACTCTTGTCTAGTCACTTGATTCCTTCCTAGAGTACTACCAGTCCTTTTCTTTATTCTAAGATGCTATATTTCTCATTAATGAATTAATGAAGTCAAGGTATAAAAGGTTAGAAATCTGGTAGTTGAATTTAGTTTAATTAAAATTAAAACTAATTTTTTGTGCTTAGATGCCTTATTGAACATTCTTATTTTTTAGGTTTATATTTATTTTTCAGGAAATATTAGGGAGTCTGTTTTTTAAAGCACACCCTTTTGGATTTTGCAGATGGAAAGAATTACAAAGTGCTTTACATCTCAGGGAATCGCCAAAATGTCAGAATTTTTCTGGAGCATTAGTCTTATAAAAGTGATTACTTTTCCTTAAATTAGCTTCACCCTCTCAACATAGGCCGTATCAAGTAAAATAGTAAATGGGGATGTGAAAGTGCTAGATTGGTGGTGGGGTCAACATCAGAATCATTTGGAATGTTCACTGAACTGTACAAGAGCACCACTCCCCTGACCTAATTCTTACTGTCCCCTCCCATGCTGGTTAAGGATGTCCAGGGAGGAGCAATGATTGTGCAGAGTGAGAAGATTCCTCAGTGGTGCAGCTATAGCCCATTTCCTCTTCCCCATACTCCAGTTGCAAAGCACTGTGCTTAGATTTATGAGTTAAAATCTTATCCCAGTTTTTAAAGTTGCAGTTTAGGATACTTTGTTTTTAAGCTGAAGCATTAGGAGGGCAGGTGAACTAACCTTTCTGGCAACATTGGCTGGATGATTGAGGGCAACTGAGAAACAGTCTTGACTCCTAGGAGTTCTGGGTTGGTGGCCTTGGGGAAGAAATAATGTGTCAGCATGTGAGATTCACATGTAGGATTCTGAGGATTTTTAAATGATAAAAATTTCAGTTTTGTCTTTGCTTTCTTTTCTCTCTCCCTCCCTCCCCCGAAGTTAACACATTTATTTGCCAATAGGTCAAGGAAGTTAAAAAAACTTCTTCGGGCTTGGAACTCTCCGTGGTTACTTCAGTTCCTGGTAGGAAACCCACCTTGACCACGATTCCAGATGTTGACTGCCTGCTCTGGGCCATTGGGCGGGACCCAAATTCCAAGGGCCTGAATTTAAACAAACTGGTAAGCTAATTTAGTCTGCTCAAAACATTCTTGAATCTCTGAGTAGCTCTGTGTTCCCCCCTACCCTCCAGACCCCCCAAACTTTGGTGGGTTCTATTGGAGTTTTGTTTTTTCTTTATTCTTACCTCCAGTTTGTCCTCAAATCCCATTGCTGCTGCTTTGAATTTAAAAGGTTCTTCTTTTTAGTGCCATCACCCTAGATCAGGTCTCTGCAACCTCTAATCTAGATTGTCTAGCAGTTTCCTGATTAGCCTCTTTCTTACAGATTTTCTTTTTACTATTAAAGATACTTGTCTCTTTATTTATTTATTTATTTATTTTTATCCTCACCTGAGGATATTTTTCCATTTTTTGTACGGATAGAGTGGGAGGGAGAGAGAGGAAGAGAGAGAGAGAGAGAAACATCGACGTGAAGGGACACATCGAGTGGCTGCCACCCGCACGACCAACCAGGGCCGGGGACAAACTGCAACCGAAGTACATGCCCTTAGCGGGAACCGAACCCGGGTCTCTCCGGACCGCAGGTCGACGCTTTAACCGCTGAGCCAAACTGGCCAGGGCGAGATACTTGTCTCTTTAAAGCCCTATAATTATTCCTCATTGTCTGCAGCTCTAATCCTGATAGCTGGGGTAAATCATGGACATTGTGGCACTTGGAAATGGGAATAGATGTGAAGCTGATCTATCAGTGTTATAAGTAGAATTCTTGTTTGTGCTTTTATTTATTGATTGATTTTTATCCTCACCTGAGGACATTTTTTTTTTTTTTTTTTGCATTTAACTTCAGAAAGAGTGGGAGGTAGAGAGGGGGAAGAGAGAGAGAGAGAAACATCGATGTGAGAGAGAGACACATCGACTGGTTTCCACCCACATGGCCCCAGTTGCGGTTGCGGGACAAACTGAGGTATGTGCCCTGAGCAGGAACTGAACCCGGGACTCTCCAGTCCACAGGCCAACACTCTAACCACTGAGCAAGACTGGCCAGGGCTCTTGTTTGTGCTTTTAAATTTTGAAGGAAAGTCTAGTAGAGTAGCTTGGGCCATGGATCCCAGCGTTTGACCCAGGTTTGAACCTTAGTTCTATTACTGACCAGTTGCATGGCCTTATTAAGCAAGCAGCATAATTACTCTTAAGTTTGAATTGCTTCATATAAATGTGGGAATAATAATAGTACTTGCCTTATTGATTTTAAAGAGAAGAGTAAATGAAAAAGTACATGCAAAGTAATTAGCTGAGATTTCACCTTATAGTATAAACTCAGTAAATGTTAATGAGCTGCTGTTGGTGGTAGCGATGATGACGTTTTTGAGATGCTAAACTACCTTTCTAGTAATAATAGATATTTTATGTTTGAGGTGTATACATTAAATGGAGCCTCTGGAGAAGTATATAATATTTTGATTTTATGTTCTACTATTTAATAATATCTGTTATAATGTAGATTCATTTTTTATTTCTATAAAAGGCATTTTTCAGCATTAAAATATATATCTCTAAGATATTTTACTTGTTTTTAATCTTACTGTTCAGTAACATTTAGTAAAATCGATTTAATATTAACAAAACTAGTCATTCAGGTTTTTACCCTTCAAGTGATGTTTTGCCTTTGTACAGATATAGGCATTGGCAGGTCTAGTTTTCAACTATATTTGTTGAATTGTAATACAAAGAGGCAAGGTTTTTCATCTCATTTAATGTTAAGATCTATATTTGTAATGCAGATCGAATGATTCCTATGTGTAGGTCTTGTCAACATGTTACTAACTTAATTGAATCTTGCCAACAACTCTTTGAGATGTAAGGATGAGGAATCTGGGAGCACAGAGCTAATAAATAATTCATGGCTGTAAACTCTGTGGAGCCAGGAGGATATCTGTATTACTTACCACTGTATTCATAGTGACTAGGTTAATGCTTCATTTGTATTCGATGTTCAAATACTTGTTGATAAATAGGTGGATATACAAGGTCTCGTAGCTCATAATGGCAGAGCTGGGATTTGGACCCAGATCTAACTGGCTTCAAAGGTAATACAATCTTAACCTGTAAGCTACCCACCTCCTATTTGTTATATAGGAGTACATACACCTGGGATCTAGAAAGCCACAAGATAAGCACGACACATCTTGGAGCAAAAATTTGACTCAATATATTGGGGGGAAAATTTGGTTAAAGGAAATAGCAGTATGTTTTAGAGTAGAATGCAAAATTTGCTTGGATTTTATAAAGATAAATGGTAAGCTTCAAACAAATCTGCTCTTGCTGACTGCTTCGGTACAGTGGGAGCTGGAGTACCGCAGGAGGAGTGCTGCAGAGGGAGGAGTCGGAAAGCACTGTCCTAAAGGGACTCCCGGGCATAGCGAGTCGCACGTCTGCTGGTTGAGTGACTCCTTTTCATTTTATCTGGCCAGCTGAGTTGTACATTTGCAATGTCAAATCCTGTTAAAACACCTCAAACTTGGATAAAATATTTCTTTTAAAATTAGCAAAATATAAGAAACTTACCAATTTGCTAAGGTGCATTTCATCTTGCGGTTGAATCTTGTAGTTCTTAGAGATTCAGGCTAACAAGGTGCCTGAAATGAGGTAGATCCAGGGATTTGATCTGCCATTTTTTGTGGATAGGCTAAATATTTACATGCTGTCCCTTCACGATTTTAGGGGATTCAAACTGATGACAAAGGTCACATCATCGTAGATGAATTCCAGAATACTAACGTAAAAGGCATCTATGCAGTTGGAGATGTATGTGGAAAAGCTCTTCTTACTCCAGGTAATGTTTCTTCTTTTCTTGGGTACGGGAGGCTCTGTGTGTTGTATAAAACTGCTGAGTAGTTCACAGTCAAATCAGCTTAAGCAAAGTCAAAAGGATGAGTGTCTTTATGTCATCAAAATGATAAAAATGCATTGAAATAGATGTTGGTTGGGTGCTTGACATTTTCTGAATAATATTCATTTTTACTTTAAAAATGCTTAATGAAGACTGAAATGTGTATATAGATGATATAGTCACCCTCTGAAGAATGCTGTAAGTTAGAATATGTGTATGTGTGGTTGACAGTGGAAGGAAGGAAGTGGCTTTGGGAAGAAGTAATTTAGCGTGGGATTTTTATATGACTATTTAGTCTTGTTACAACCAAGACTGACCCTCTTCCTCTGAATGCCATACCTCATCCTACTTCCTGAGTTAACAGACACATTTTCAAGCTGTTGGTCCCACTTCTATCTGCTATCAGCACCACTCCATCTGCTTTCGCTCCATCCTTTATGGGACCTCACTAGCCATTCCAAAATAACTCTGGTCTTACCTCAGGATGGAAACTTCCCAGCTACACACTCAAAGCCTTTTGGCATCTTTAGGACGTTCTCTCAAAAGCAAAATAACAGGCAAAGCTTCAAAACTTCAAAACATAATCTAACAGTTGAAAATGATGTCAACATGAAGAAATTTCTTATGTATCCTACTGATACCGTATTTAGGGGGTGAGGGAAAACCCTGTCAATTTGAAATCAATAAAATTAATAACTGATACTTTTATTGAACGCGGGCATTTATTCTAAAAGACTTATGAATAAAAATAGGCTAAGGAGAATAAACTTAAAAAAAAAAGCCCTGTCCAGTGTGGCTTAGTTGGCAGAGCATCATTCATTCCATCGCTGAAAGGTTGCTGGTTTGATTCCCAGTCAGGGCACATGCCTGGGTTGTGGGCTTGATCCCTGTTAGGGGTTGTGCAGGAGGCAGCTGATTGATATTCTGCTCTCACATCAATGTTTCTCTCTATATATATAAAAATGGATGGAAAATAAAAAATAAAATAATTTTTAAAATAAATGTTAAAATATTAGTGTGAACTGAATATGATTATAAAGTAGAACCGAAGATGCTCCAAAGTAATATAGTTTGCTCAATAAATAGTGAATCAGAAAGCTAATGTATATCCTCATTAAGTAGGTAACTGCCAGGTGATTGGGAACTTAGAAATGTGTCTTTTTTTTTCTTTTTGTCGTAATTGAATAAGCTTCTAGTTTTGAATTGTTATTCAAGGCATTGATATGTCTTCATTATATTGAACTAGGTACTATAATGAGCATTGGTGTAAAGCTTTGTCAGAAGTAGTATGTTAAGCCAGATGGCTAAATGATTAAAACAATTCTGCTGTGTTAAAATGAGTGATAAGCTAACCACTGATTTCAAAATATCTTTGCAGTTGCCATAGCTGCTGGCCGAAAACTTGCCCATAGACTTTTTGAATGCAAAGAAGATTCCAAATTAGATTATGACAACATCCCCACAGTGGTCTTCAGCCATCCCCCTATTGGCACAGTGGGACTCACAGAAGGTAGATATTTAAAAATGAAGATCATTTATGGTTTCCTTCCTTCCATCCCCCAACTTTAAACTAGGTGTCTGTCAGCTGGCTAAATCTATCTCAGTCCCCCAAGTTACACTTCTTTTTGGTTAGCTCTTGTCACTGTTCCAATTTGCTCCCCAACTACTACCACTTTGAGAGTATAAGTCCTTTTCCCCACACCACCCTGTCTATTTCTTTGACAGTTTTATTTGAACTAATTTTGATTTAAAGAAAAATTATAAAAATAACACAGAGGACTTCTGAACACCCTTAATATACTTACGTTGTCATTATCTTTACACACACACACACTTCAGTATCTATTTCCAAAGAACAGGCTGTTCCCTTACAGAAGCACAGTACAATTTTCAAACGAGAACATTTAAATTGATACAATATTATCTAAACTTTAGACCTTATTCAGATTTTGCCAGTTAACTCAAATTGTATCATTTTTAACATCCCCCCGCCCCCCAAGTCCAGCATTCAGTCCAGGATAATACACTGCACTGTATTTAGTTCTTGTGCCTCTTTGGTCTCCTTTAACTGAGACAAAATTCCTCAGTCTTTTATCTTTCATGACATCAACATTTATTTTGTACATGTCGCTCATTGTGGTTTTGTTTGATAGTTCTTCCTGATTTGATTGAGGTTCTGTATTTCTTGCTCTTTGATAGGTCAGTGGAATTGCTTGGTTTTTTGATAGATGCTTTTTTCCCTGTACATTATAGATGAAGCCATTTTTAAGTATGGAAAAGAAAATGTGAAGATCTATGCTACCACCTTTACCCCAATGTATCACGCAGTCACCAAAAGGAAAACAAAGTGTGTGATGAAGATGGTTTGTGCTAATAAAGAGGAGAAGGTATGGGAAAACCCAGTAAGCTAAAGACGGACTTCTCAAGGTTGGAAGGGATGGGGCATTTTGGTTAGGTGGGGAGGGAAGAGGAGACCAAGTAGTTAAGCCTTCCCTGATTCAACTGGTGTGGTCCCATTTTTATCTATCTGTGTGTATATTGAGGTTCTTCATAATATTTCATTTAGAAAGAAGGTTCAACCACAGACATTAGGGGGAAAGGTCGAAAACCACAAAAAGCTCGCTGTCCTTGACTGATAGGCCAGAATAGATAGGAAACTCAGAAATATTGTTAAGTGTGAGAATTTAATGCAAGATAAACTTAATATAACCAATCAGTAAAGAAGAGGAAGTTTAGCCCTGGCCGGTTTGGCTCAGCGGTTAGAGCGTCGGCCTGCGGTCCGAAGAGACCCGGGTTCGGTTCCCGCTAAGGGCATGTACTTCGGTTGCAGTTTGTCCCCGGCCCTGGTTGGTCGTGCGGGTGGCAGCCACTCGATGTGTCCCTTTCACGTCGATGTTTCTCTCTCTCTCTCTCTCTTCCTCTCTCTCCCTCCCACTCTATCTGTGCAAAAAATGGAAAAATGTCCTCGGGTGAGGATAAAAAAAAAAAGAAGAGGAAGTTTAGTCAGTAAAATTATCTTTTTTTGGTTTAACTTTTTGAGGAACTACCAAACTATTTTCCAAAGTGGCTGCCATTTTACCTTCCCCTCAGCCGTATATGAGGGTCCCAGTTCCTCCACACCCTGGACAACACCTGTCATTATCGTTTTGTTTTTTTCAATCCTCACCTGAGGATATTTTTCTGTTTATCTTCAGATAGAGTGGAAGAGAATGAGAAAGAGAGAGAGAAAGGGAGAGGGAAACATTGACTGGTTGCCTCCTGCACAACCCCAACCAGGGCTGGGGACAAACTGCATCCGAGATATATGCCCTTAGCGGGAACCGAACCCAGGTCTCTCTGGACCGCAGGCCGACGCTCTAACTGCTGAGCCAAACTGGCCAGGTCCATATCAGTTATTTCTTCATACCATTCATCTTTCATTCTTTTGATAAACATTATCTGGCAGTCTAATAAAGACTAAGAACTGAGCCCTGGCCAGTTCTTCTCTCTCCCTCCTACTCTATCTGAACAAAAAATGGAAAAATGTCCTCGGGGGAGTATTAAAAAAAAAAGACTAAGAACTGAGCCCTGGACAGTTTGGCTCATTGGTTAAAGTGTTGGCTCACAGACAGAAGGGTCGCGGGTTCAATTCCCGGCCCTGGCTGGGTTCATGCAGGAGGCAACCAATCAATATGTCTCTCTCACATCCATCCATCGATGTTTCTCTCTCTCTTTCCCTCCTTCCCTTCCACTCTATCTAAAAATCAATGGAAAAATATCCTCAGGTGAGGATTAATAAATAAACAAAAAATAAAAATAAGTAAAAAGACTAAGAACTGGGATATGGAGAGGAATAATGTGACGTTCCTGTCATCACCAGAAACTCTGGTGTTGTGAATTCAATTTAGATTATAATATTTAAAAATCTGGCTGTTTAGTGCATATTTAATATGATTTGTATTATATTAAAATCATGTTTGTTTTTTTTAATTGAGATATACTTTAAAAAATATATATTTGTGTATTGATTTTTCTTTTTCAAGAGAGAGGAAGGTGAACATTAACTCATAGTTTTACAATATAGTGAGAACCTTCACTGGAAAATGTGAGTTGAAACAAATGCCCCTTTCTGGTCTTTGTGCAGTCATCCAGCGTGTGTGGACGGAGTGCTTCCTAAGGGCCATTATTGTGTTTGGCCACAGAGATAGAGTGGGGAGCAGAAGCAGATAGGGTCACCTTTCTCCAAAGATTAAAGTCTGCTGGGAAAGATGAACTGCCACTGTCTGGCCCCCAAATAGAAAAATAAAATTTTGCAATTGCGATAGAACCATGGTGGAGAAATATTGGTAGTGAGAGACCATGTGATAGTTTAACTTGGTAGGGAAGGAATATATAGCTATCTGAAGGATAAATGGCCTTTAACCCTTAAAAGAGGAAAGGAAAGATAGTCCAGACCGAGTGAACAATTTGTGCAAAAATGAAAGCATGGTGAGTACTCAGGACAGAGCGGCAGCCAGCGAGGCCGAGAGCCTGGGGGAGGGCTGTGGTGAGATGGGCCGTGAAGGGAAGTTGAGGCAGCACCACACAGGTGGGTCTTATAGGCTCTGTCATTAGAGAAGTAAGCCTTTTCAGAGGTTTTTAGATAATAGGTGTCTTTCTCTTTTGTTTCCCAGGTGGTTGGAATCCATATGCAAGGAATTGGGTGCGATGAGATGCTGCAGGGTTTTGCTGTTGCAGTAAAAATGGGAGCCACAAAAGCCGACTTCGACAACACGGTTGCCATTCACCCTACCTCTTCGGAAGAACTGGTCACACTTCGTTAAAAACTCAGAGACTTGTGTGGCTAGCAGTTGGACCAGTAGACCTTCTGAAATGAACCAAATAATCATATTTACTTAAACTGTTTCCATTTTATGTATTTCTTTATGGTAATCAAGATCTTCTGATAGTGGAACTTTTCAGTAAATAATAGAATTTTTTTATGTAATTGGAAATCTGTTTTGTTATCCAAGATTGATTTTCATTTTATTGCTTCTCACAATAATTCATACTTTAAAGTTTTTTATTAATAACTCTGTTAGCTGGTTGTTTTGTTTTTGTTTCAGCATCATCCCAAGTGTAAAACTATATGAACGACAATTAAATTAATGTAATTGGATGAATATAGCTTGCCACTTTTTTTTTAAATTGATGTTAGAGAGGGGAAGGGGGAGGGTGGACGGGGGGAGAGAGAGAGAGAAACATTGATGGGAGAGAGAACCATCAATCGGGTGCCTCCTTGCACACATCCCGACTGGGGACCAAACCTACAACCTGGGCATGTGCCCTTACTGGGAATCAAACCAGCGACCTTTTGGTGCACAGGATGATGCCCAATCAACTGAGCCACACCGGCCAGGTCTAGCTTTGCCATTTTTTATGGAGGAAGATGACAGCAGCTGTTCACATTTAAGTAATTCAAGTGCACAGAATCTTTTGTTGTTTTTTAAGTCTGTACTGTGCTCTGCATGTTACAAAGCTGCTTCAAGGGTGTGCCCTTCTCTAAAAACATGTAACACAAGAGGCCTAGATAGGCCTCATTTTATTCCTTCTTTTGTATTAAATTTAAACATTTTTTGTTGCTTTTATGAGATGAAGTACATCAAACTTGGGAAAGATTTGAGGAGGCTGGTCACATAAATGAGGGACATTTTAGAAGAGATTCCAGAAGGAGAGGGACTCAAACACTTGGATTCCCTTCCTCTGCTCAGAGTTCATAGTTCAGTGAAAGACTTCAATTTTTCTGTGTGTTCTTGTCATTTTATTATTTTTTTCTGAAAACAGTTTCCCAAAATTTGAAAATAGAATCACAGCCTTTTCTTCTTATGAAATTTGTTGTTACGAATTTATGGGTCACAGTTCATTTTCTAAGAACATTTCACATTGGAGAATCAGATGCCAACACTGAGCCTACCTTAAGAAGGCCTAAAGCCTTATGTGGGAGAAAAGAAATTTCTCTTTTGTAAATAAAGACCAGAGGTATAAAGGAAGCATTAGCAAATGTAATGGTTGAGTTGGAAGAACAGTCTAGAAATCACAGGTTTTTAGCATTTTATTTCCATTAGCCTTTACCAGCTAGGTAAGGTACATTTTCCCATGGCTTTCATTAGTGACATAGTGCTACTGTCTTCTTTCATTAAGCTTTTACTGAATGTCTTTCTAGTTGGTGGTGGCCAGGTTGCTACACTGACTTCAAGAAGGTCCAGTGCCTGTGAAACAATGTTACCACATCAGCAATTAGATTATGTGATGACTGCAGTAGAAAAAAAGTATCTAAAAACCAGGACTCGGACCGGACTAACACAACCACTCCCCCTTCATACCCACCAGCCTACAAGGTCATGAGCCACAGCTCAGGTTTCTCAGTGCCCAGGCTCCAAACTTTGGATGTGACTCCAAACTTTGGATGTGACTCCGTAAAGAAAAGGGGAGGGCCCAGTAGTCACTTCTATTCTGGCCATGCACTTTTTCTGTTCAGGTATCCTTTGCACTGCCTGTTTGTTTCTGCAGTAAACCAACATGAAAAGAACTTTTTCCAAGTCACAGACTGTGTTCTCATCAGTCCTGCTATAGATGTGAGGTGATAGGACCTAACAGTCTTCATTACAGAAAGCTCTCCCCCAGATCTGTCTCACTGTACCTTCATTACAGAAAGCTCTCCCCCAGATCTGTCTCACTGTACCTTCCACATGCCCTAACCTCCACCATCATCTGGAGAAAGTCAGAATATTCAGGGCAACACAGTGCAGTGTCTGCCACAGCGTAGATGCTCAGTACACAGTTAACTGAAGGAAATGCTTGCAAGTAACCATGCAGTGTAGAATAAGAGATAAAATTCTATATAAACAACTGCAATTCAAAGTATTACGTTAAGCACTGGGTGACCATATGGTTTATCAACTAAACTGGGACACTTTTGGGGAGTGAAAGGGGGCATTATTGATTAGTTGGAACAAAAGGCACAAATTTGTAGTGGTACAGTGCTGCCCTAGTTATTAGAGAGATGGACTTACACAAGTTCAGAGCAGGCAGAAAGTGCCATTTTTTTGGGAAAACAAGAAGGCTTCGAGAAAGAAAGATTCTGTAGGATTTGGAATTTGAGGATGATGGTGGAGGTTAGGGCATGTGGAAGGTACAGTGAGACAGATCTGGGCAAAGTGTACATAAATAGAGTTCATTTAATATGGCTGGCGCATACATGTTTGTTTTGTGTGGCATGTTCTTCCCCACCTGTTTACCTGATGATCCAGTTATGTATTGCTGCATAGCCAACTACCTGAAAACTTAGGGGCTTTAAACAGCAACCACTTTATTATACTAGATCTCACGACTTTCTGGATCAGGAATTGAAGCAAAACTCAGCACGCAAAGATGACTCTTCTGTTGGTGTGGAGAAGAACCATTTGGGAATATCCAACTGCCATATGGACTGGTTTAGAAAGTCTAAAGCAGAGTCATTCAGATGACACCCCTAGGCAAGGAGGACTGGAAGGCTGGCCCCAGTTGAGACTCAAGCAGAGTTCCTGTGTGTGGTCTCTCCAGCATTTCAGTCTTAGGGCAACGGACTTAGAAGCTCAGGGCTTCCCGAGATGGTTCCAAGATTCCCAGGCAGATGCTGCAAGCCTTATGACCTAACATCAGAAGTTCTAGAACATCACTTCTGCCACGTGTTCTTGGTTAAGCAAGTATCAGGCCTGCCCAGATCTCAGCAGAAGATAATGGGAGTTTGTGTCTCAGTGGGAGGATTGGTAAAGAATTTGTGTCCATCTTGAGTCCCACACACCTGGAAATCTACTCATTTTACAGGACTTGACTAAAACCACCTTTGTGAAGATGTCTTGAATAGTTTTGTTATGTGTTCCCATAAAACTTTGTCACATAGTAAGTCTGTATTACATGTTCACCTTGTGTATGTATGTCATTTTATACTCTATGTTCTCTATGCTGAGTTTCACAGTATCATTCCTGTACATCATGCAGCAACTTTGACTGAAAGAGAGCGAAGGTGTGTTACTGTATGATCTTTCACACTAATATCTCTGGTACAAAAGAGCCGACTCTAATCCTTTACGTTTTTGAAAAATGAGTAGGCAGGATTTTCAGGATCTTCACATTTCTTCCTATCCATGAATCTGACATCCTGGATGTGGATGAAGAGTGTTGGAGGTGGATACAGAAGATGGTTTCCATTGTGCCCTGCTCTGAGAAATACTCTTATTGCCATTGCCTTTAATATGATAATATTGCATGTTGATTCTTCAGCAAAGATTAGTCAACATCTTAAAGGTAAGAATAATTTTTATGTAGTATATTTTGAGTGCTATTTAGTGTGTGAGGGGGCAGTGTTAAAAGGTAAAAAGTGTTGCCCTGGCCGGTTTGGCTCAGCAGTTAGAGTGACGGCCTGTGGTCCAGAGAGACCCGGGTTCAGTTCCCACAAAGGGCACATTCCTTGGTTGCAGTTTGTCCCCAGCTCTGGTTGGGTTGTGCGGGTGGTGGCCACTCGATGTGTCCCTTTCGCGTCGGTGTTTCTCTTTCTCTCTTTTTCTCCCTCCTACTCTATCTGAACAAAAAATGGAGAAATGTCCTTGGGTGAGGATAAAAAAAAATAAAAGGTAAAAAGTGTTGGATGTTAGGGCTGGGGTTATATCCGGTTTTTCCATACATTTTTATGGCCACAATTTCCTCTTTTAGGTTCTCTGTTAGTTGTAGTAGCAGATATTTCTATTTTTGGCTGTTCAGCATAGACACTATAAGTGTACGCACTTCCAATCTTATGAGCCTTGGTAAGAGACAAAACCTGTATTCCCACATAGAACCCCAATATATTAGATCCATGCTTTTTCAGGCTCCACTGCAGCTAGGGAGAAGGCACATACATAGCCAATCAGATCTACCCACCCTTGACTACTCAGAAACCAGTGATGCAGTGAAACAGAGATGAGAGAATACATTCTAGTGGCTCTGACACCAACACCAAAGGCCAGCTGGCTGTAGTACCAGTGCCTGCCATGTCAGTTTCTAGCTATGGTGACCTCACTGGCCTATTTCTGAGTCATGACCTTGGCCACCATGTCTGTAGCTGCCAAGCCTCTGAGCCTGGATCACCAGCCCTCCCAAGACTCTGTGAACTACCCTCTATAGGATACATTCATTCTACTTAAATAAGCCCAGGTCAGTTTCCAATGTTTAACCAAGAACTGAGGCTGATAGTTTTATTTTCCTAAACCATAATCTTGGATTACATTTGTCGCACTGCCATTACGGATTTATCAATGTATCTGTTCCTTCGCCCTTTTCATTTTTTTTTTTTAGTTTAGTTTATCCTCATCTGAGGACATTTTTACATTTATCTTCAGATAGAGCGGGAGGGAGAGAGGGAGGAAGAGAGAAAGAGAAACATCGATGTGAGAGAGACACATCAAGTGGCTGCCACCCACACAACCCCAACCAGGGCTGGGGACAAACTGCAACCAAGGTACATGCCCTTAGCAGAAACCGAACCCAGGACTCTCTGGTCCATGGGCCAACGCTCTAACCGCTGAGCAAAACTGGCCAGGGCTCCTTTGCTTCTTTCAAACACAGGGAGCATGCTCTACACATTTTTGTACAGTAGCCCCCCCCCCCTCCCTCATGTGAAGAGGATATATTCCAAGACCCCTTGTGGATGCCTGGAACCATGGATAGTATTGAATCCTATATGCTATGTTTTCTTTCTTATACACATCTATGATAAAGTTTAATTTATAAATTAGGCACAGTAAGAGAGTAACAACAATAACAATAATAAACCAGAACAATTATAACAATATACTGGAATAAAAATTCTATGAATGTGGTCTCTCTCAAAATAGTG